GTTGGGGCCCCCCCCCCCCCCCCCCCCCCGGTGTCGAAACATCAGCGCGACATAACAAGGCAGGGTATCGGAATGGTTTATACCGTTCCTCCGAAATCCCTCGGGTTTGTTCCCCCCGCCCCACACAGGGCCGATTGGCCATCGGTGATTGGTCCTGTGGGAACAATGCTCCCTCCGTCCTCTCGAGGACGCGTGGTCAATGGTGTAACTAACCGCTAAGCTAAGTCATGCAAAACATAAGAGTAACCCCCACCCCCCTCCTGCCCGCATGTTTTCACCGGCTTGCGATCGGGATGGTGTCGGCAATGTACCGACGGTTCACCCCACGTGCGCCACCCAGGCCAATTAGCATCCTCCCCACCAGAACCATCCAGAAGGCATCGTACGTTAGGGCCTGCGGCACGCACGCCAGCACGGCGCGCAAGCGGCGAGTGTTTGTTCGTTCGTCGGTGTTTTTTCCATGTGTCACGTCAAAGGGGTCGTCAATGGCAGCCACGGTGAGAGAGGCAGACGGGAAAGAGGGAGGGCATGGGCACGGCGCGCAAGGGGAAAGACAAGAGGCCGAGCTGTTAACATACCAGGCAGCTTGGCGACGAAGGGAGCTCGCTAGGCTAACTTCTTGGAAGAGCCACCGTGTGCCGCGCACCTTGACACCATTCTCGTTCACCACTGTACAATACCACTCCTCTGCCTTTGAGGCCTCAACCCTACAGTAAATAGAAAAGCCACTCCGCGAGCGTGGCTGACACGAGGCAGGCGCGTCAACACTGCACTGCGCGCTGCCCTCACCCTACCCGCTTTGCTCGAGGAATCTGCTTCCGACCACGGCGCACAAGAGCTAACGTTAAGGCTGTCGGGCCTCATCTCTCCGGCTACGGGGTGCACCATCTACCGCAAAGGGCGGAGAGATGGCACCCCCCCTAGACCGACTTTCAAAGCTCGATTGCTCCATGACCAAGATTGTACTGTACCGTATACCGTACCGCGGTATTCCGTAAGAGTCGGAGAGATGGCAACCCCCCTAGACCAACTTTCAGAGCTCGATCGCTCCGTAACCAAGTGGGTTCGTACAG